CACCGATGCACCGCTTGGCAAGCCATGCTGTGGCGGCGTCCCATATAAAGTAGAGGAAGATGGGCATGGATGTTAGCCCAGAGCCAGTCTTCCTCGCGCCAGGCCCCGCCCCAGGAGCCTCGCTCTCGCGCAAGGCCCCGCCCCTCGCCGCTTCGCCCCGCCCGGGCCCCGCCCCCATGGCTTTGCGTGCGCCCCGCCCCTCGTCGCCAGGCCCCGCCCAGGCCGGGTGACTGAGCGTTCCAGGTTGTGTGCTGGGCCTCCCTGGCCGGGCACCGGCTGTAGGGGCTTGTCCAGCAAAGCAGGGAGAAAGTGGTTCCCCGAGGCTGTGCAGTAGTTTAGGGAACGTGTTCTGTAACAACTCCCCAGAGGGAGTCGCCTCCCCGCTCTCCTGGAGCTATGCCCTGGGGTCCTGTGTTAACTGCAAAGGTGACTAAAATGTTTGGTCTCACGTTGGGCTGCCGGTGTGGCAGCTCTGCATGGGGCTCCGGTTACTCTTGTATGCAAGAGCCGCGGGTTATCGGTCAGACGTGCCTACAGCGATGCTTACTATATGGAGTTCAGGAGGGGTGAGAACAGCCAATAACAGGGGTCCTCGGCCCAACTCGAGCAGGTGGGGTGGCCCTTCCCGAGGCAAGAGTCCCAGTAAGGCGCTGTCATCCTAACAAAAGGGGCTCAGCCAAACCATATGCTGAGGTGGGTTTAGAGCATGTGGCTCTTCGCTCAACAAGAAATGCAGAATGTGGACTTAGTGGTAGGTGCTCATCAAAGCACGTTGTCTACAATTTTCTCCTACCAGTTTTTATCAGATCTTAACCCAGAAAAGATGTGTTTGGGAATATTATTTGAAAAATATGCTGCTATGAGCATACTCCCACTGCCACACAAATTTCTGCTATTGTACCTTGACTACATTTTTGAGTTCTAAGCAAAACTTCCTTCAATGTTATACCCTCAGCTTTATCCAAAGTGGAAACAAAAAAGCCAATTGTGTTCCATCACTGTGTCTGCTGTGGGAATGTGGTTGAGGGCACCTTTTATCCTATCTTCTGTAAAGGGTCACTTGTGCAATTTCTCATGAAGGTTAGGACAAGGTAAAATTTTGCTTCCTCTTGTATCTTTCTCTTTTTCTGATACTCATGTTCACTTTGCTAGGAAACTCAGGAATTTATTTACAGCTCAACTATTGCAATTATTGAAACTATTTAATTACCGTTCACTTGTATTAGTTGCTAATTTTTTTCATATCTTTATGTTGGTGCATCAATAGATTGTACATTCAAGTAAAGGAGTTACAGAACACCTGACAGTGCTATTTAAGGTAATATAGCCTCAGAAAATACTTGTGATTGATTAGGACAACTGCAGAAAGGTAATCACAGATTGTTTGGGTTATACTAGAAATCAGAGTAGGAAGGACGGCCTGTGGTTTTGATGGGCATAGAGCCTGATGGGAAAATGCAACCTAGAGACACCAGCCTCTTCCCTAACAGTGGTGACTCTGGTCCTTATTGAAAGCAGTCCCGAGGATACCCCGGTCTGTTAAGAAAGTTGATTCTTTCTTTCCCGCCCCCCCCAGGAGAAAATCAAAGCTTTATAACATGTGTACATGGGAGAAACCAGGAAAACTGAGTTTCTCGACAAATGGAAGAGGTTTTCACCTTAAATAGCATATTCAGATAGACAAAGGAGGATCATGGGGTAGTGGTTTGGGATTTCAGAGGAGAAGACAGTTCACATGGAGATGGAAATGCAAATGTTTGTCAGACAACTCTTTACAGGGCCACCTATACAGAATGTGACTGGAGAGACAGAATTGTTGATAAGATGGGCTTGTTGGTGCCTTTCTTATCACACCTATTTTACATTATACTATAGCTATCATATGGTAGTGGCTGCTTCCTGGAACAGGCCTTCTATGTTAAATTCTTTAGGCAGTTTGGGAGGGGAAGGTCAAATGTCCTTCAGAGAAAATAATCAAGGTAAAGAGACATATTTTGAGATGGCCAATTTTGATCTCCCATAGTCCTGCCTTTGAAACTAAGAAGTTTCACAGTCCTTTTGAAACTTAAAGAAGTTTCACAGTCCAGAAGCTGAGTTGGTGGATTGTTCCATTTCATTGAACACATTTCTTAGTCCTAATAATAGATCAGTCCAGTTAAGTTCATTTTAGAAGGCTGTGATGCGGGTGGGCTCCCAAAGTTAGGCCTATATTAAATACCTGCAAGCAATCAGGTATTTAATAAGAAGCATTTCTATGGAAACAAAAGAACAACAAGGTTAATGGTTGGAGCAAATTATAAACCAGTTTCTGAGTTCAGAGGACAGCCAGTTAAGAAGGTTTCTAGATGTCAGTCTCAACGCATCTTTTGCAGCTTCCTTTTGAGTGGCTTACACAGCAACAGGCATGAATCTCTTGTAAGTTTATATCAAGTCCTTCAGTTTGTAAGGCTTCAGGAAAAAGGGCAGGTTCAGTTCTCAGTGATTCCAAATGAAAATGACGGGAAAAGAATCAAAAACGTTAGTTTGGAGGTTCGCAGCCAGATATTTCAGGAGACTAGAAGAATTCAGGATCCAGTCCAGTCAACAGATGTAAAACAAAAGCCTCAAAGACAATTAATAAAACTAGGATCTATTATCTACAAATAGTTTCCACTGAAATAATTTTTCTTTCTAAAATCACCCTCATTTTTATCAAAGATAGCCAAATTTAGACTAACTAGTTTGTAAAATAAGTCTAGTTTCAATAAATTTGGCCCAATTATTTACATAAGTACATCAAGAATAGCAATTGATCATATAGGCTCTTTTAAATCTGCTGTGCTGGAACTTTTTTATAAGGAATCTCAGATTGAACTTCAAAGGCATGTTGAGGCCAGGAAAGCCAAGCCAAGGATTTTGTCATCAGACTTTGCCTGCAATACCTGCAGATTTGGGTGAATTCCTCTCTTTTTTGAGGTTCCCCAAAATATTGAGGTTCCAGGCACCTACCAGATGAGTGACCTTCCTTACTTATCTGTCAGGTACCAGGTTGCAAGCAAGGTACAAGACCAATAAGAAAGTTGATTCTTGAAAGTTAATGCAAAGGCTGGCCTGGTGGCATAGTGGTTGAGTTCTCACACTCCACTTCGGCAGCACAGGGTTCCGGGTTCGGATATCGGGTGCAGACCTACACCACTCGTCAAGCCATACTGTGGCGGCAACCCACATACAAAACAGAGGAAGATTGGCAAGGATGTTAGCTCAGCGCGAATTTTCCTCAACTACAACAAAAAAAAGTTAGTGCAAATAATAAACATCACCATGACCATTACAACCTCTCAGGCATGACAACTAATGGAGAACTGCCAAATACCAGGTTGGACACACATGGCTTTAGATCCCATCTCCATAACTGCTTCACTTTGAGACAACCATGAGCTATTTAAATATTCCCTGCTTCCGTTTCTTCATTTGCAAAATAGCTAGTATGATATCTATTTCACCTCACGAATTCTTGAACTTCAATCTCTTCTATAAGACAGGAAGGATTATGCCCATTTCATCAGGTTGATGAGATAAATGTGTGAAGCACTTGGTACCAGGAAATGGAAACAAATTAGATGACATTAGCTACCATTTATCAACTTCCTTCTTAGTCTGTTCCAGACATTTAGATATGTTATTTAGTGTTCAGAAAACTTTGAAGTTGGTGTTACTGTTTCCATTTTGCAGAAATGCCAGCCCTTGCCTCCAACCAGCCCTCAGCTAACAGTTTTTTTGATCTGCTACACCCTTGAGGTTTTTCTAATGCTTCCTTCTGTGTAATATTAAATGTGTGCAATACAGGATGGCCAACACTGAGCTCCTGGAATACAGCCAGCCCTGAATGGCAGAAGCCATCCCTCCTAGAATGCAGCTCTGTTGCACAGAACATGTAGGATGGCATAGGTGTCACTGGTAAAATGAAATACCAACATGTTACCAACCACAAGTGGAAAAACAAAAATAGCTTAGCAAACAAGGTGTGAAAAATGAAGCAGAACTCTGGACTTTTTGAAAATGGGAGTATATTTTAAAACTGTCTTGCCTGAAACAAAGAGGAAGTAGCATGCAGTGGTCCCCCCTTATCCACAGAGGGGATACATTCCAAGACCCCCAATGGATGCCTGAAACGGTGCATTGTACTAAACTCTATATATACTATGTTTTTTCCTGTATATACATACCTATGATTTCCTGTATATATATACGTTATGTGTTATATATAATATATAAATTATAAAGTTTAATTTATAAATTAGGCACATTAAGAGATTAGCGACAGTAACTAGTAATAGAACAATTATAACATTATACTGTAATAAAAGTTATGTGAATGTGGTCTCTGTCTCTCACCCATTTAATATTTTCGGACCATGGTTGACCGTGTGTAACTGAAATAACAGATAAGGGAGGACTCCTGTGTTAGTGTAAAGATTGGGCCGCTGTATCAGAGACACCCATGAGTGTGATGGCTTGAACAAGAGAGAATGTTAACAGTCCAGGCGTGGTAACGTGGCTCTGCCATCCTCAACATGGGGCTTCCATCTCTGGGTCTAAAGTGGCTGCTCCCTGCTACCAGCAAGACATAAAAGATGAAGGGAGTACCCAGTTCTATCAAGGGGAAGACCTAGAAATGGCACATGTCCCTTC